AAAATATAATCACAAAATAGGACTTAGACCTTAAGTTTGTTTATAGCTTTGGAATGAGGGTTCTGTGGCTATTTTTTGCTTATCCTATCTACCTGCAGATTTCAAATTCTGTAAAACCTATTTCTGGTCAGAGCGGGTGGGGTCTCAAAAGAACCACCCAATATAAGTTATAATATTTTTTCGTTCGCTTAACCTAGACAAGAACCGTTTCTAATATTCCCCTTTCCGAAAAAGCATAGCTCTAAGGAAAATTTTCGAATTGAACTTTTTTCCACAATATATAATCTGAATACTACAGAATAATCTAACACTCGTCTATATTTTACATACCATTTCATACTTACACTATGAATACATCAGGCCAATTAGCAGAGCGTGAGCCTGAGAGTAAAGTTCATGAAAAAATATATAACCCCAAATCAAAAACAGTACTCAATTTACTAACTGGCCGATGAATCAACCTAAATGGAAAACTATTCCAGAAGTTGATTCGTGAAGGGTTCATATACACTAATAAACTTTCGGATTATATAGATTATATTTGGGGTGATATTTCTATCTTTTTCTATCTAGCCTTAATTCCACCTTTATCTATCCTAGTTAGACCAGGTATTTGCAGAAAGTCTCCTATTAGTGTGAAATCTACCGCTGGGGTGGAATAAGTCTATTTACTTAAGAAAAAAATAAATGATTCTCACTTCAGAATCTGGTCCAGTTGGACCATTTTAATTTGATCATATTATTAAAATTATGCTGAAGACATAAAGAAACAAAAGCTTAGAGGAATGGAGTACTCATGAAATTTCTTCATCAGCCGAATTTAACCCTTCGAAGTATAGACCAGGTGCTTTATATGACGTATTCACAAAAACAGATGTTTTAGAGCCGGAGCATATATTAGCTCTAACACAGTTACTTGACTAAAATATAATTATAATATTCTTTCGAGAAAGATTTATTCATAGTTTTGGAATGGCAGTTCTGTGACTATGTATCTTTTTTTGTATATTTACCTGTAGATTTTAAATCGATGTAAAACTCCCGACCAGAGCATAAGTTATATCATTATTTTTCACTTCCTTTCTAAAGAAGCATAGCTCTAAAGAAATTTTTTGAATTGAACTTTTTTGTTTCCACAATATATAATCTGAATACTACGGATTAGTCTAACTACCACATATATTCTACATACCTTATCATGTCTGCTATCACAACCAAGTTCGTCACAGACCACAGACCACAAACTCACCAATGAGATTAGTCTCGAAGAGCTTAGCCAATATGCGCCAAAAATACTTGATCTCTTAACAGATAATAAAGAAAAAAGGTGCCAGGCTCGTAATCGTCTTATAAAAGGGTATGGCTTTAGCAAAGAGCAGATATTTGTATTGATTCCTCTCCAGAGAATCGGGCGATGCAAAAGACAAGCACCAGTTCCAGAGGGACCAGAGTTGAAAGCTGAAAAAGTAAATATATGTCAAGTATTAGATAGTACTGGTTCTGAGGAGACTATTAAAGAAATAGCTCAGTGTATTATACGAGATAAACTTAGCGAAAGAGAAGTAAAAGCAATATCTAGAATCTTAGAGGAAACATCACCTGATACTTTCGTTGCCTTATCTCGTCTCTCTAGGTTTCAAAGAGAATTGCGGACCCTCAATGCTTCAGAAAAAATAATTTTTGCTATATTTAATCCGGAGGTAACTAGATTATCTAATAAAGTCCAAAAGGAGCATAGCGAGTAACGTGAAAATGAAGGGATCGATTTTCCAGACCACTTCTTATTAGAATCGGTTAAGGAGAGACTGAATTTATATAATGTATCTAATATACTCAATAAACAAGCCCTAGCCGATGTAATGATAATGCTCTGCATTCGTCTTGCTGAAATTAAAAACTTGTGTATATCTAATAGGGCCGTAACTGGATATACAAAAAACCGAGGTCAACAGGACATCTTTCGAGTATTTAGATCACTGGAAAAGAATGAAGCTTGGACAAGACAATTGCTTACATGGATTCAGGAAGCAATCGTTTCCAGGGAGTTAAGGGATCCAGGAAAGCTTGGATCAACATACTTAAGTACGTTTCTGAAAAAAGATGAGTTTCTTCCAGAAAGTGGTAAGCCATTACTTCCTAGCTCTTTACGCAAATTAGGGGCAGTATTTGCTTCTGTAGCACATGGGCCTAAAAATGCGTCGAAAGCTAACACTTATGCTAGTGAAGCCCTTCTGCATTCACCTGATAACCATGCTTCTCCATCTAAGAGGTATACTATAGTCAATATGCGGAAAAGGGGGGAACTATATAATCAGGCAAGATCATTCTGCATCTTTGATGAAAACTAATATCCAAATTTTCTCAGAGGGTGGTTTAGATAACGTTTATTAGACTTTATTTTTTTGTTTGCCTGTATAGGTAAAAATTGAAATAAAAGCATCTTAGTTAGGTAAAACAATATGTTTGATATATAATGCATTCATACAACCCGCTCAATATTCAAGATATTTTTAAAGAATGGACAAAAAATAATTATACCCGATACATGTTAACTGAATATGGTTTAAACTATATCAATAATTTTAAAATACCAGAAGCTTGGTTACAATTTGCGAAGTATTATCCACCTGAATATATACGAAGACGTTTATTAATACTAGGATATAATATTAGTAATAAGAACCATTGGGAAAACTTTGTATTCCATATTAAAAATAATTTGACTAGCTATAAGCAAATAGGTAATGACCCTAAATATAGAGATTTTAAAGTTCAACTAGCATTATATAAAAAAAATCGTGTGTCATTAATTATCCAGAAGACATATTGTTTATGGAAAAAACAAATTAATTTGGCTAAAATAATCCAGCATGCAGTAATTAAATGGCTCTATCGACCTGCTGGAATATTTGTAACGTACTCAAGATCGGTATTATCAAAATGCTAATAAATTGAGAATTGTCAGTAGATCGATCAATTCTGGTTCATACTAAATAATTCGTGAATGAACAAATCGTCAAATCCGAAATTAGTTTTCTTAAAATCTGCAAATTGGTTTGTTAATAACAAGGAGTATATTATATAATGGTATAATAAATTGCAAAAACTTATCTAGTTAAAATTCGGGTAATTGTATTGATTTGGGTATTATATCCGTTTATTTTTTAACTATCGAACCATTCTGAGCAGTAAAAAAAATAATATATAATCAGGTAAGTATGAAATGATAAGAAAAATTTTCATCATTAACCAACTTATTGTAGCCTATACTATGAGTCTTGAACCACTTAGCGAAGGAGAACTTGCTAAAAAATACCGGAAATATCATAAGCTACTAGAAGGCTTGCTATGGACCGCTCAGGAAGTTGATATCTCACAGGATCGCAGGGATTGGGATTTCAAAATGAGTCCAGAGGAACGGCACTTTATCAAATTCCAGATAGCCTTTTTCGTTAGAGCGGACATAGACGTTCTCAATAATTTGGATGAAAATTTCGGGGATGAGATCGACTGTCTGGAAGCCCGTTGCTACATCACCACCCAGAAATACCAAGAATGCGTCCACATAGAGGGCTACAACCTCCAGACGGAGACCCTGCTAGACGAGAAGTCCCTCCAAGAGGTATTGAAAGCCTTTCAGTCTTGGGATGCAGTGGCTCGGATGCGGGCCTGGGTTTTGAAATGGTTTGACCGTGTCGTCCCTATAGAGCACAGGCTCATCGCTTTTGCGGCCGTAGAAGGGGTTTTGTTTAGCGCCAGTTTCGCCTCTCTGCAGTGGCTCCGTGAGCGCAAACATTTGCCTGGAGTCACAACTTTCAATACTTTCATAGCCCGAGATGAGGGGGTCCACACTCTCTTTACCTGCTTACTGGTTAGAAGCTATTTGAGAAAGAAACCTCCGCAACATATCGCTGAAAAAATCTTCTCTAGTGCCGTAGAGACTCTGGATGGGTTCGTGGATGCCTCTCTGCCCGCCTCCCTGCGGGATATGAACCCCGATTCTTTGAAGCGTTATGTATGCTTTCAGGCGGATTGTGTGCTCAAGACGATGGGGTATAGGGGCATGTATAATGGGACCAATCCCTTTCCTTTTATGGATAAGCTAACATTGAACGAATACTCGAAATTAAACTTCTTTGAAACTCAAGTGACTCAGTACCAGACGGTAGTTAGCCCCGGGGCCGCTCGTCTCGCTTTAAATGGACGGCGAGTACATGTGCCGGAAAAATGAATTTTGAACCTAGCTAGATTTAAAACAAAATGGGGTTTGAAAGCTATAAGTATTTACTGTGCAAGGACCGGGGTGCAGACTCTTCTGTGGCCGTGGAAGAAGATTTCACCCAAGAAGACCTCTTGCAGAAATTGGTAGTTTTTAACGAAAGTATCATGCAATATCTGGTCTTTGATTCTGAAAGAGATTTCTGGAGCTATCATCGCGAAACTTCAGAAAAATTGAGAAATTTCCATGAAGTGATATTTGGTTTTCAAACTCAACGGCTCAAGTTTGACTTAGGCATATCAGTCGATAAAAAAAATGACATAAACATTCTGGAGGTCTTAAAAACAATAATAGGATGCATCTTGGCCTTGCTTCATGAGTATTATTCTGGAACGCAAAAGATTTTATTTACTTCCCAAGATTTAGGAATTACGGATTCCAGCGGAGAGACGACCACGAGCTACAAACATTCTTACCACATAATAGTGCTTTTCTATGCGTTTTCGGACAACATAGAAACTTCGGCATTCACCAGAAAGTTGCGGGAACGCTTGCCACCAGAGTTCCGCCCTTATTTGGTTATAGTGTTAATAAAGGGATCCAGAATTTTAGGATTCTAGGGTCGACGAAAAAGGGGAGTGAAACATTGGGCGTGACTATTCCACGCTCTTGGAGTGAGCTTTTTATTGCGAATCGAGAGGGCTTGCAGGTGCTTGGTCCGATCTTGGGGGCCGGTGTGGGGCGGAGTACGATGAGAGACGAGACTGAAAACGTTTCTGCTTTGGTGAGGGCATCGCTAGAGCTCGTAGCGAAGCTTGGAATATCGGAGGGCTTCCGGTTGAGAGAGATCTGCGGGGGGTCTTGTAGGAAATTGGTGGCTTTTGACAGAGAAAAACCATCTTTCTGTAGTATCTGTCAAGAAATTCATCATAAGGACCACGCTCTTTATCTTCTGTTGATTCTGGATAGTGATAGAACGAAAAAAGAGAATTCGCCCGGGAGTTGGAAGATTATAGAGAGGTGCCGCCATGCAGAAAAAGGAGGTTTGTTGGGGTGGTCCATGAGAAAGACTGGACTTGGGAAGTGCACGCCTCACCAAACCAAAGTGGTTTTCCTAGGAAAAGTCAGCAAGCGAGGCTTCTTGACCACATAGAGAAAATAAATTCCGGGGAGATCGATCCATGGCAGAACATAGAAAGAGAATTGAGCCGACTCCCACCGGAACCCCAGAGAAGAGAATACACGAACAGCGATATGCTGCCATATGAACTGGTAGATACTTTGGCTGTACGGGCTCAAATGAAATTGGGGAAAACTAAAGCTCTACGAACGTTTCTAGATCAATACTTTCCTGAAGAAAGCCTTAAAGACAGTGTAATCCGATTCGTCACTTTCAGACAGACCTTCAGCAACTCTTTGCAAGAACAATTTCCAGATTTCAGTCTTTATTCCGAAATCCAAGGAGATCTCGACACAACGACCTACCCTCGCCTCATAGTTCAGATCGAGTCCCTCCATCGCCTAAAAATGTCGGCTCGGCCCGAGCCCGTTGACCTGCTCATACTGGACGAAGTGGAATCCACTTTGGCCCAGTTTAGTAGTGGGTTGCATAAGAACTTCGTGGCCTCTTTTGCTGTTTTTCAATGGATGTTGCGCACTGCGAGACATGTGATTTGCCTCGATGCAAATCTTTCTGATCGGACTTTCTGCACTTTAGAAAGAATGAGACCTTCTCGACCGATCCATCTACATTGGAATAGGTTCCCGCGTGCGCAAGACGATCAGTTTTATTTCACCATGGAACAGGCTTCCTGGTTGCGATGCTTGTACGACCGCGTCGGGGCCGGCAAGAGGGTAGTCTTGCCGGTTAACAGCCTAAAAGAAGCCAAGACTCTCGAGGCGTGTCTGAAAGAAAAGTATCCGCAGAAGAACGTTGCCTTGTACAGTAGTGAGACCCTGCCTTCGGTGAAGACGAAACATTTCGGCGACGTGCATTTGTATTGGAAAAGCTTGGATATTTTGATTTACACGCCCACCGTTTCGGCAGGAGTGAGCTTTGAACGCGAACACTTCGACAGTCTTTTTGGTTACTTCGTTGACTCGTCTTGCGATGTCGAGACTTGCAGGCAGATGCTGGCGAGCGTGCGACGTATAAAAACGCAACGATATCATATTTGCTTGTGGACTATGGGGGGCCCAGTCTTTCCCGACAGAAATTTCTGAGATCCGCGAGCACATCTACGACCAGCGTTCCAGTTTATTTCGCGACACTTCGGACCCTGCCCTCATGTTTGAGTATGACGACCTGGGGAACATAAAATACTATGAGTCCGACTATTTCTACCTGTGGCTCGAGACGATCCGGATAACCAACTTGTCGCGCAACACTTTTGTTGCGCGTTTTGTAGATCAGGTGGCGTCCACAGGGGCCCGGGTGCAAGCCTTGCCTTTGGTAGAGGAGGGGGAGGAGATCGTAAACTCTCACCGTAGCATCGGTCGGCATATGGAGCTATCTAGGCTAGAAGCCATGGCCTCTGCACCAGAACTGTCTTCAGATGAAGCCACTGTGGTCCGGGAACGGCTGGATGCTCAAGAAGATGTGGAGCCCCCTTGTATCAAGCCTATCAAAAATTTCAGGTCAGGGAGTTCTTCTCGTGGCATGGGCGCCCCTTGGATGCGAAATTTCTCAAAAATTATTGGAAAGACTCTGCTTACAAAATTTATAAGAATCTCAACCGGATAAGTACGGAAAAGAGTTTAAGGCTTTTCTTGGAATCTATCCAGGACCATGAGCGGGCTCGCTACATAACGAATGTAGGCTCTTTCATGGACTCGCCTGACTATTGAGATCTTTCGGCGAGAGAAGGGAAAGATCTACACTACCCCTATGTGTTCACGAAACACAAGACGGCCGTTTGGTTCCTCAATCTTTGCGGGTTCTCTTATCTGGATGACCGTCTCCTCATACATGAGGAGCATTTGAAGTTTCGCCTGGCTGGCGCTTTTCATCGGATCGAAAAACAGAGAGATTCTTTGACGTTCGAGTTTGGCATTCAGACTAACTACCTGCAATTTGCGAAAACGGCTCCTACTCGAGAGGATTTCCTCAAGAATATGTTACGCATAATTAATAGAATCTTGGGGATGATGTATGGGATTAAGGTCAAAAAAAGTGCAAAAAATTTAAATCCGGCTTCCTACAGCCTTTCAAAGACCCCGATGGGACGGCTTTTTGTATTGTCACAAGAGCTTGATTCCGATTTTAGGGCCGGGGGGCGCGACCCCAAGTGGCATCCAATCTTTCCAGACAGACTAGAGTGGACTCTGATTTGGAGCTCTTTCTGGAGAGTCTGCTTTACGAAGGGGATCCTGGAGATGACTTTGAGTTCAGCCTCGGGTGGGGGTAGCCCCCTCAAATGGAGTACTAGATGGAGGGTGGAATCTTTTTGTACGTTGTAGTCGGAGAGGAGGCGGCCGTCTTCGAGCTGTTTTCCTGAGAAGATCAATCTTTGTTGATCGACGGGGATCCCTTCTAAAGATGCTTGACGAATGACGAAACCATTCGTCATGCAACTTCTCATTGACGAATTGACGATTGACGAAACCTATGACGAATGAT